CAGTAATTTAATTTATTTTAGATGTAGATTATATATTATGTATAATTTGAATTATACACCAACAACTTTGGGGTACAAAGTTGAAGAGAAATTATATCTGGGGGTACGCGAAGACATCTTAGGGGGTACATGAAATTTAAAAAAAATATATATTATTTTATGAGAAACACTGAATAATCAGTAATTTAATTTATTTTAGATGTAGATTATATATTATGTATAATTTGAATTATACACCAACAACTTTGGGGGTACAAAGTTGAAGATAAATTATATCTGGGGGTACGCGAACAGTGATCAGTACCCCTGGGATTTATACTTTTTCGTTCAGGTAGTTGGTGGCACGAAGCATTGGGGCCCGGCTAAAATCCCGTTCATATTTAATCCAGGCGCCTTTCTGTGTAAACATTCTTGTCGATGTGTCGATCTCCGAGGTGACTGCGTGCCGGTTGGACGGGCGAAATTTAGCTTGTGGCTTGTTTTAGACTTCACGATTCTGGTGCAATTATATACAAGCCGTGCACTATACGCTATTTTATATTAGAAGAAATTAACTTATCTTTAATTAGTGTGAAAGGTGGACCCGCGTATTTGAGAACCCGTAGGTGGCCTGAGGCTGGTATTGCAACTGGGAAGCCACTTTCTAGTTGAAGGTGGTTGCCGTGCTAGGATTTCGTCGTTGAAAATATATGTTTTGACGAAAGGCAGTAATAATACGTCGATGGCTGGTTTTGGGAAGTTAAGGTATTCGTTTGTAATGTAAATCCAAAAAATTAGGAAGAGACAGCTTCAAACTCAGTTTCAAATACACATTCTGTCAGGGATTCGTAGGATTTTATAGAAAGGTGACTTGTCAGCTTTGCCGATTGTATGTATAAAGAGATTTCGAATTCAGCGACATTATAAAAAGTTAGGACTGAAAAGTGTTTTTTTTTTAAATTTCTCTACAAATTAGTGGATTGGGTTAGAATTTGGGTTATATTTTTTTTCGTTTTATTAACATTATATTGGAGATACTTATGGTCACATGTTGGTGTCACCAAGGCTTTTCTAAACGTATTTTTTTTGAAGATGGCTGTCTTCTGGATTGTTGTGCCTTGTAGTCTGGTAGTTTAACTTCTACAAAACTTCACGACACAACCATCTTTACCGCCGTGAAAATCTCAAATCCAACTTTCTCTTTTTTTTTGGGTTAAATCCGGAAGTTTGTAAGAATGATTAAATTGTTTCATTTTGGATTTTAAACGCAGGTGTTTTATCTGTTGAGTTTAGAAAATATATCTTAACAAATATGGAGAGTCATTTTATTAAAAAATCTTGCTTGCTTCTTGTAGTACATGTAGTCTTGATAACCAAATTGCCTCCGATTACAATAGAAGTGATCGCACATTACTGAAAATAGGCAAACTTTCACAGCGCCTCCCATGTTAAATTTTTAAATTTATTTATTAGAACTCAGTATATCATTGTGGCTAAATGTAACGTGATTCTAAAGCCGCTGTGAATGCTGACAGTGTACGAAGTTTAGGTCGGAATAAACTTACCTTGAATTTTGTTGTTCTTGAGTCCTGTATCTGTACAATTTCCGAAACTATTTCACCAAGAAGTATCTTCAGAAGTCATGCCTTCATCATACAACTGACTGTAGTCCTCATTGTGAGCGTTCGACAGTCCACGAAATCTATGAGAAAGTTTTCTTCCGTGCAGTATCTGACAAATTGAAGTTTTTGAGTTACTCCATCAGGGTCTGTTTTACGTCGGTGTGTAGTTAAAATTTCGGATTTTTAACTGGTCCATAGTGTCTTCTAGCATTGTCAACTTCGTCAATATGAGTTGTTTCTACCACTTGGCTGTAGTTTTCACCGTGCGTAATTTTATAAATTCTTATGACTGCCAACAGAAGAGACGCGCGTTTTCTCAAATACCTGCACCCCCCCCCTATTTAAATTCTCCTTTGCGATAACTTCACCACAACAAAGTATGGACGCTTTCTACGTTCACGTGTTAAATTGAACAGAACGTCTGATTTTCTCGTCCTTTTTTTTAAAAAAGCAAGGTAATCTTGGCTTTCGTCTGTGGATCTGTTTTAGCCAATGCCAAATCCATGACGCGCCTACCCTGTCAGGCGATTTTGATAATCTGAGGCCACAACGTTCTGCAATAATCTTAGATCTTGATATCTATATTTTGCCTCAGTTCGACCGGCTCTGGGGTCCACCCAGCCTCCTGTCCAATGGGTACCGGGGTCCTTTCCCGGGGGTGACGCTGACCACTCACCCCCATCTGGTGCCGAGGTTAAGAGTTTATAGGAGCTATACGCTCTCTCCCCCCAAGTGCGTACATGGCGTATAGCGGGACAGCTTTACGTTTTATGTACTTTTATCGCGTACGTTATGGTTACCATGGTAATCGTGATTCTTTTTGGTGTAGGCGGAGAACCAGCCGAAGTGTTCCGAGGATTGTTTTTCTGGGTCATGTTGGGTTAGATCTGGTTGCGATGGTTTAGCATATATACGGTTAGGTTAGGTTGGGTTGGGTTAAGTTACGTCCTTTTTACACCAGGCTAGGACATGTTACGTTTGGTTTAGGTTTGTTTGCTTTGGGTTAAGAAAGCTGTGTTTAGGATAACTTTAAATTTTAATTTTAAGTGTTTAGATCCAAATATGGGAATTGTAAATTTTCTGATTTTGAAATTAAAAAAATTATGGTTTTCTTTAATATTTTAAAAATCATAAGTTCTGATAATGAAAGTTATGAGAATTTACAAATGCTGGTAACTTGAGTTTTTAATTTGATTTTTCACTATTTTTAATTTTTTAGAACTTAATTTTTAAAACTTTTTGAAATTTTTGAGAACTCGTAGAATTTTTATATTTTGAAACTTTTGAAACTTTTGTTTGTTGCGTTTGGTTCGGTGAAGTGAGGACTTTAAATTAGGTAAGGTTGGATTAAACTACGTCAGGCTACTGTGTTAGTTTAGATTATGTCAGGAAGAGAGAATACGAGGTGACGATGGTTAACGTGGTTACTGGACCGATTTCGGCGAAGATTTGTTCGACATAACCGAGGTTGCGATTTCTACATTGGTGGATACTCGTGGTGGCGGCTGAGTGAGGGAATCGAAGTGGGTTTTGCATCAGGTTAGTCTGAGCTGTGCTACTTTTCGGTTTGTTTTGTAAGATTAAGCTGGGTTGGCAAGGATTGGGTTAGATTAGGTTAGGTTACCTTTGGCTGGGAAGTTATGTGAGTTGTGCTTGGGTTAGGTAAGACTGGAATGGGTTTTGCGTGTAAGGTTAAGTGATTTGAGACTGGCAACTGGAGGTAATTTGCTATAGTTAGCAAATACTGGTTTGGACACGTGCCATTAGGTGGCAGATTTAATACATATAAATGCGCATTGCGAAGAACGCATGAGGAAATTCTTTGTATTTCGGTACGGGTTGCACTTTCCAGACTTCCTTAACCTAAAATAAGTATTCTGAAATGATCTTTGAGTCAGGTTTACGTTAATTACTTTTACGTAATTGAAATAAAAAAAATTGTAGTACTTTTGTACTTTGGGGCTGACAGCAATGAGACATGTTCATGCAATTCTGCTGTCAAATGTGTGTGCTATGACTAACACTGCTTGCAGACTGTTATTGAGATTTATAGTGCTAAATAGGTTTTATGTCATCACTAAGATCTCGTGAAATTTTTATGTGAGAACGAAAAATGTATGTCAGTGCAGAGTATCTGCTTTGAAATGTTTAAATTTTACGGAATCGTAATTATACATGACGTGAGCAATACGCTGTTGTGTGACAGGTGCATCAATCCTCATCCCGCGTACCTCTCGCCTGTGTATTTTCTGCGTTCCCCAGGCTTTTCCCCCCCTTTGTGTTATAAAAATTATCCGATATCTGAACACATTTTGTTAATGAAGGCGTTTGCCAGTACCTGTTGCTGTAATCAAGTGTTCAGTGTAATGACGTACGTCAAATGTAGAACTAGGACGCGTCTTACTGGCGAAGGAATAATATAATCAGAAATCAATACCTTCCTCAAGACTGATAAACAAAAGCAGTGAGAAATATCTCAATTGAATATGAACCTGTTTCCAATGTTAGTCTTTATTTAGGAATGTTTTCGAGAAATACCTCGTGACGTTTGGGGAAATTTACCTAATTTTAATCGTGTAGCCCTCCATTTACACACAGAAGAAGGCAATGGCAAAGCACTTCTGGATCATCTGCCAAGAACGTATATGAACAGGTCCCAGTCCGAGAAAAGGATGGAAGGATCCTGTTCATATGGACCTGTCGTCAGACAGAACACTAAATAAAAATACCTTACCTTACCTTACATTACATTACTTTACATTACATTCAGCTACCACAGACCCATCTTAAGCGTAACTAATTCAAGTTAAATAAGCAATGTCTTAATCAAACTTTACTCAATTGTAAAGTATTTATAAAGGAAATATTTAGAATAAAGCCAATATATAAACTTCCTTTCCATATAGACGTATTTACGTCAAATTCTCCGGAACCGTGGTTCCGCTGACAACTTTTTGCTTTAAAGTGAAATGGAACTACTTGATTGTATACTTCACGTACATAAGAACACAGGGAAAGAAAACATTTAACGAATATTAAAGTAGCTTTAGCGGAAAGCCGAGATTTTTTAAGATAGGCGTGTTTTGAAGTCCCATAACACAGAATGTCTTGCGAAAACAATTCCTCGAGGTGGACTGCAACTGAAATATTTTATTGTAAGGTGAGATCTGATCATGTAGGCACGGTAGAATGTCTCTCGAAGATGGGAGGCGATTGATCCAGGGTTTCCATGTAGACATTGATCCAACATTCCCGTAGCTACCTACCGTCTGGCCGGGCTGGGACGCAACTCGTGGTCCAGGGTAAGCGGGCAATGTAGCAAGAGAAGTGGTGGGGGGAGGGGGAGGGGGATACAGCTGGCGTGGAGTAGGAGTGAGCACGTACAATCTTCAGTACGTAGGTTCAGTCCTCTGCCAGGCCAGCTCAGTTCGTTCCACTAGTAGAGACCCATTCCCCCAGTTAGCTTTATTTTTACCTGTTGTGACAGCCCAGCTCCCTCTCTCGACCGTCTGCCTGCAAATCACATTGTGCGGTGACTACAGTGGAGTCAGTGTGTGTGGGGCAGCTTTGGTTTCAAGAGAACCGTTCTCGTTTGTCTGCTTGTGTGTACTTTCTCCTCTGGCGCAGTTCAAAGGTCAGTAGTCTAATTAATGAGACAAAGTGTAAAAGCAATGTCTTGTTCTAGACTTGGACGTAAGACGTTCGTCGTGTGCTTGGACCAGTTTTTAACTTATATGTTAATGCTCGCTCATACTAGATAGCAGTGCAGAGGCAAACATAACTTTCGGAAGGAACAGTTCTAATGGAAAACGTTGAATGTCATCGTACGAGTTCTGCTTATTAACTCTTAGTTCTTAACTTTCTAGGTGTGTTCTAGGGATCACCCAGTGTCGCGGTTGAATGGTTTCCACTCTTGATTTGTATTCGAGGGGCCCCCCTTATTCAAATTTCACCCCGAAAGCGTCTCCCCCCGGCAAAGTTTTTCGTGGTTTTTCTTACGTTCCTCTATACAAATGCTGAGATAGCACATTCTCTGTGATTAATCAGCCTTTACCGAAGCTGTATGCTGTAATCATAGTTACTAAAGGTGTAGCTGTTTAAACCATAAATAATATTCTAGTAACCCTGGTTTATATCAGTTTATTATTATTTTCTTTGCATCTCCAAAGAACTGAGGTTGGTAGCCAATGGTTTGGAATAAATGTGGAATTGTATAGACAGAAGACAGTTTTAAAATTTGAAGACTGTCGTATGAACCATCCTGAAATTTTTCGGTTGTAAAATTGGCGTTTCGTGTGCATTTGGTTCGTAGAGCTAAGCTTTGCCGTGATACTGTAGAGGCTTCGGTTTGTTCAGTTGATGTGCCGTGTTTTTTTTATTTATTTGTAGTGTTCTGTGTGACGACGGGTCCATATGAACAGGATCCTTCGATCCTTTTCTCGAACTGGGACCTGTTCATATACGTTCTTGGCAGATGATCCAGAAGTGGTTTGCCATTGCCTTCTTCTGTGTGTGAATGGAGTAATTGTTGGGATGCCACGGAGGAAAACTCCGTGTTGCCTAGACCACGGCCTTGCCCAACACAAGTTATAAATTCGGGCACCGCCGGGAATCGAACCCGAGACCCCAAATTCTAGCACAGTTTCGTGACTTCACTTTAGTTTTCTCGTTTTAGATGCCCGGGCTTTTACACCGTTTTTTTTGAAATCGGCAATCACAGCACACATTTCCCTCGTCTTTAAGTTCACTACTCACCTCTGACCTCTGAGGAACTAAGCAACTTCAGCTGATTTTTGTCAGGTCCTTGTGTTTGTGTGTGTATTCCTTCCATAACAGAGGTGGAAGGCCCATGAATTTGTAGCCAAAGACAAAGAATTTAAGATATTTGAACGTGTGTGCCATGCATTATTCTGTCGGCGTTTGGATACATTGGTAAGGGTCGTGGAGGCATCCGACCTCTAGGGGAGGTAACGTTAGCTGACTGACAGGCAGACGAATATTTGCCTCACTGCTTATGAGTTATAACGTAGTTGTTTTGGTGCTAAAGCCAGTAGATGGTACTTAATACATTCACAGTATCTCATCGTATAGTGTGACTTTGCACAGTGAAATTTCCAAGATTATACAAATCAGAAAATTACACGTATGACAGGTGTTCATATTACGTAAGCTACAGTTAACTACTACTGAATAATCTTTACCACCTGATTATTATTATTTATTTAGTGTTCTGTCTGACGACAGGTCCATATGAACAGGATCCTTCCATCCTTTTCTCGGACTGGGACCTGTTCATATACGTTCTTGGCAGATGATCCAGAAGTGGTTTGCCATTGCCTTCTGTGTGTGAATGGAGTAATTGTTGGGATGCCACGGAGGAAAACTCCGTGTTGCCTAGACCACGGCCTTGCTGCATTTTCGTATTTAGGAGACCCGGATTCCAATCTCATCTCGGATACCGAATACCGTGACACCATTTTTGTGACTTTTCTCAGTCCCTCCAATCAAATGCCGAGTTCCTTAAATTAGGCCTCGGCAGGTTACATATATTTTCTGGTTCATTGATTCATCGCGATCTTCCGATGGTGTATTGTAGTCGGCTGCTGGCAAAGCTAATGTGTTTTTGACGTAAATACGTCTATAAGGAAGGGTAATTCGGCAAAAAGTGTAACAAGTGTACTTAGGGAACGTCGTGTTTACTCGGAATTGTTGTTACCTAGGAAACGTTACATTACATTACATTCAACTACCACAGAGCCATCTTAAGCGTAACTAATTCAAGTTGAATAAGCAATGTTTTAATCAAACTTTACGCAATTGTAAAGCATGTATAAAGGAAATACTCAGAATAAAGCCAATATATAAACTTCCTTTCCGTATAGACGTATTTACGTCAAATTATCCGGAACCGTGGTTCCACTGACAACTTTTGTATTGGTTTAGACTTTGTTAAAGTTCAACTATGGATCATCCTGTTACGAGAAGCGACCATGTTTTTAACTATCAAAACTTTTTGTATATTTTTTTCAGTCCTATAGTGGTAAACTGTCGTTAATATCTGCGAAGTTTCTTCAGCGAGAAAGTACTCGCAAAGTTACGCAAACATATCCTAAGGTGGTTTAGGAAGTTCAGTCGTGGGGGGCATTCATGGATCGTACGATAACTTGAATTTTCCTCTGCTGAGAGACCGTGGAAATACTATACTATTCGTCCTTAATTAAATTCAGCACAGTTCATGTTATCTTACCTTCGGTTATCCGTGCCTATTTTATTAATTATCAACTAACTCAGCGTGCAGCGAGATGAATCACACTCCTGTACCAAGCGCCTACTACATTTTGAGGTCTTGACCTTGACACAAAGAAAAGGAAGGCCCAGACGCAAATATACATTATAATGTCTTTAAAAAATAGAATTTTGTTTACAGATTTACAACGTTTTCTGTCCTGCCCCGTTTAGATAGGCTAATCGTGTCTTTGCTGTAAGCTGTTTTAATCTGGTCGGTACTGGTTCCCCTCTCCGATATTTCGCTCTACTCCTCCACGCGAGTACCAAAAGTGTTACATCTCACCAGTCGTAAATCGTTCTTATGCCGTTTGCAGTCGAATCATCGCGTAACTCGCAAATAATAATATTCTGTGTTTTGAATAAAAATTTTCCTGGATGTTATCCATCCACGGTGGTTTAGCGGTTAGAACGCTGGCCTTGTAATCCTGGGGTCTCGGGTTCGATTCCCGGCGGTGCCCGAATTTATAACTTGTGTTGGGCGAGGCCGTGGTCTAGGCAACACGGAGATTTTCTCCGTGGCATCCCAACAATTACTCTATTCACACACAGAAGCAGGCAATGGCAAACCACTTCTGGATCATCTGCCAAGAACGTATATGAACAGGTCCCAGTCCGAGAAAAGGATGGAAGGATCCTGTTCATATGGACCTGTCATCAGACAGAACACTAATAATAAAAATAATATCCATCGTGTAGTAAATAAAATATAAAAAGTAAAACGACGTTTCGGAGACGGGGATTAGCTCTATCTAGTGGGCCCAACTGAGTAGGAACCTGAAGACGGAGATAGAGCCACTTACAGGATTGTCAGATAGTGATGTACGGTGATATATTTTCGAAGATTCACAGCTTTGGTACATATTTATTTGTATAATTAATACTTTTACACAGCAAACAGAACTGCTGTATTTGTAAGAGTCCAACACTAACTCGCGTTGTGTTGTATTGCAGTTGAGTTACAATACTTATGACATTAAATTTATGTATATCAGGAATGGACCGATGTCACCTTTTAAGAAAACGTTTTACATTTACAGATTGATACTTTCAGTACAATCTTAGGCCTTATATTTGTTGGTCAGTTTGTAATATAAATTCAAGGCCCCACAATAATCATTTCCTTTATGCAGTCGAAAGAGTAGAGATTAAAGGAGGAACGTTTAGATATTGTTTGTAATTTTTTTTACAAATTGTGGAAAGTGTAAACGTTTGAGATTGCAATTCGCACGCTTGTTTTGTTAACAAGAAGGTAAGATTCGATGAATAAATCTTATGTTGAAGAGAGACTCTGCGATTTGTTACCGCCCTTATGCAGGCAACGCTCCCGTAGAAGGCCAACTGTTTGTGGACGATGTGCCACGAGGTTTACTAGAGGTTGCGTTCCAGGTTAACTGCAATTACGAGCAGGTGTAAAATCGTAATTAACCTTCCCTCCCCGCAAGAGGGCAGACGTACGAGTAATTTTATGCAGTTTTGGAAAGAAACAGGTCGAGTGGGGTCCAGGGAAATTGCTTTCACACTTGCTACTAAGTCGATGTCACCAGTCTAAACTTAAATCATTGATTCAAAGCGGCCTATAAACTGTTAGTGGTAACCTTAACATAAATCCTGAGCCGTGGCTGTAAATTTATGGGCAGTTGATTAGCTAATCAACACACTTCCTCACTTTTTACGAGGTGCGATCGGAAAGTTTCAAGACTGCGCGTATAAAAACCCGTACACTTATCTAAGGTATTAAATTCATCCATCACCCTCGAAGTAGTTCCCCTGGGAGTGAACACAACGATCCCAGCGCCGCTGCCAAGCCTGGAAGCATCCCTGGAAATCTTTCTTTGT